GGGGGTGGGTGGTGGCAGCGGCGGCGGTGATGATGATGATGATGATGATGATGATCAACAACAACAACAAAAACTAATGCCATGACTCGACACCGCTGACACGAAACTTGTGACTGGACGATACAGAGCTATTCCATCTACCCCCAGTCCTTATTTATTTTATTTTTTTATTAGCCTACTCTCCTTATTTTGAAAACTAAAAGTAGGCTTATCAGATCGCCATGTTCTCTGTGAATCCTCCCCCGCCCCACCATAAACTTCAGAATGCCTGAACCAATCTTTATAAAATTTGGTATGTGTTTCATGGCATCTTAGTCCATCTCAACGACATACTTCGTAAATCCCTCCTATCAGTCTGTCTCTCTGTATGTATATCCCCTATCGCTGCTGGGCAACGACTCTGAAAAGCTTTGCTGCGCACACGCAACAATAGAAGAATTGTTTGAGGCATTGTCTTATATGCTGTCCGTTTCGTATGAAAAGGAAGTAGGCGATTAGTTCTTCCCATAACTTCTAGTTTATTTATGGTTTCTTTCACGACTCTTTCAGTAGCTCAGACTGGGTGGGTTTGATAGTGGGGTAATTAAATGAATTGAAAGGCATTTAGAAGGAAACAACATTGGTCTCTTTGAAGGTACTATCTCAGGATTTGACTGGAGGGACTGGGGAGAGCCACCAAGAAACCTCTGGTTAGAGGTTCGAACTAGACATGTCCAGAGTACGGACAGGTTCAAATGCTTCCATAAGCATTTCGTTTTCAAACACTTCTGCACTATAACAGATAATGTGTCATGCCCTTACAGAGAGAAGGTGTTTTTGTGACCCTAACCTGAAGTGAATGGAACAACAGCCTTTGAAGTACGTCATAAATATTTGCACAATTTGGTTTGGTTATTTGATTATGATAGTAATAACAACAGTGTCTTCAGATACTGACATTACAATCAAAGAGCAGTTACAGAACCTGTGATGGTAACCTTTTAAAGATGAAAGGGCAGTTTTGACTGCAAAAATGTTCTGCCGTGAAACCTTGCCCGTTGCTTTAAATGGATGAGCCGATTTACAATATACAAGAATGACCTCTGTAGATTTCTTTATAACATTTTCGATGGCAACTTCAGCAACTAATAAATCCTGCTGTCCAATGCCAATGTCGAAAATTTCCACGTCAGTTTATCGACATTTAGGAACACATTATATTGTCACGTGTTTCAGTGACTAACTAGAAAACCGAAATTAACGGCCGTAGGGATCCCTTGCGCTGACCACGCGACACCCTCTATCCACTAAAGTTGACACTGACTTCGCCGACAAGCGGCGGTCGCTCGGTCGGTTTAGTTCGCTTGCGGACTAAAGCCACGGAGTTTTCAGTGACTGTGACGCAGGTTTGGATTGGTGAATCGGTTTATTGGATATTCACTAGTCGTAACAACAGTTAGTTCTTACATTCTCAAGATTACTGTAACTATAGCATATGTAACGTCACACACTAAGTCTTATAGTTCTTCCTCTGGTCACACTGCTGTTTCCTTGGAACTTCGGAACTCAAGTAAAGCCAATTCAAGTCAAAGTCAAAGTCACATTGCGACTGACGGTCAGTCAGTAAGTCTTGGCGTCGAGCCCCATCTGGGCCTCATGACCAGATAATAATTATTACCGTTTGACAGTTACGGTCTTGTTTCTGTGGGGCGCCCTCTCTGACGAGAAGACGGGTCTGTCTTTTGTGTATGCTGCTGGCCCTTGCCAGCGCATTCTTTCTCGGGTCCGAGTCCCTTGAGACTCGCGACCATATTTTACTGTCTAAGACTTGAGACTTCCCTTTTCGTCGCCTCCTACGACTCTCAGGGTCACGGTGGAGGTATTCGACACCGCCTCCACACGGGTGGGGACTCTGCTACTCCAAGCCAATTCAAATTCCCGTGTTCTCTCATATCCTCTCGGCATGAATCACGTAGGCCACACAGAAAATAGGCCACGTGATAATTGTCTCGCCAGTCCATTGGCGCGCTGAGTGATACCTAGCAACGAGCTATAAATATTCGTCCTGTTGTTGCGCGAACTTGTTCATCGCACTGTTGCCTAGGTATACACGTTACAATATTCACAATAGTGCCAGTAACGCAAAGCGATATAGCGATATGGATTTGGCAGAGTGTCATATAACGAACTGAAAAATGAAAGAGTTCTCTGTAACCAAACGTTGCATTTAAGTAATTATCTCTCTTGCCTCGTATTCTGAATGACCAAGTTTCTGCACCCAGTCCCAGGTGTAGGCTATCTTGATTGAAATATTCCCCGGCTTTTACTCAGTTCTTCGAGGTAACTTATAACAGACTATAACAATTTTTTCCACAGTCTTCCCAATTTCTCATTCGTCTTCAACATCTCAGCCCGTGCAGCTGAGAAAACGTTGTTTTGAAGACGTGCACAGACAATTCTGTGAAACTAACAGACTAGTCTAAACAAAAGCAGTCGGATGTGGATTAATTTCTTGTTGTAAACTGAAACTGTCTAGGTCTTACCTCTCTCTCAGGTAAAGATTATTATTATTGTTATTATTATTATTATTATCGTTATTATTATTATTTTAAAGCCTTTTTTTTTGTTTTAGATCCTCGTTTTTGTTAAATAAGTGGGCGCCAGTCGTCACTGAGTCCACATTCACAAAGATAAGCTACAATTGTATCTCTTAATTGGGACAGTAACCGTATGCTTTGGCTCATAGAACATAAAGGGCTTATGAATAAACGTGGAAAATAGCATTTTGATGTTCCTATATGAAGAAGAGTGCAGATGCCCACGACAATATGGACTGTAGCCTATGCTGTTTAGCTTGCTAGTGTAACTAGAATGTAATGCTTTCAGTTGTACTTGTGTTCACCCTGTATTTAACGGAACCTCCTTAACTTCTAAGTTAGACGTTTAATGCCAGAAAGATTATGAGCAAAGAGTTTGAAATGAATGATTTCGATCTGTTATAATTACATTCCAACATTCTCCTACATGAACGTAATAAACCGGCATAAATCTGAACCAGCAGGCCTACAGCTGGTGTACAGGACTCGAAGCCAAGGGCCACTGAAATAAAGCAGGAGTGCTAACCACTACACTGCAAAATTCAGCATATTTTGAGTTAGGATTTGGGGAAGAAATGTAAACGACTGCTTGAAAGGACGAAGAGAGGAAATAAACGAATAAAAAATAACGATAGAAAACTCCATATGTACGATTTTTTCCCCACGAAAGGATCAAAGACCGGATTGATCATCAGGTTACAGATTACTGGCCCAGGAATGGGTTCAGAAGTGAATCCTTTGAATTAGGCGAAAGCTCCGAAGCGAACTGCTTGAAGGACGCAGAGGCTGTTGTCAGCCTGAAGGCCAGGTTAGAGGCTGTCATTGGCTTTTGAGCAGAGCACAGTGTACAGTAGCCGGAGGGCAGCTGTAATTACAGGACGTCGTAAAAACTGCAGCGGTCTCCCTTTCAGATCCTGAACGCACAATTGGGAACGTCAAGACATTGACGAAGGGGAAGGATGAAGAAGGAGAGGAACATGGAGAAGGAGGAGAGAACAGGAAAAAATAACAGTAAGAAATTAAAGATCAAGGAGAGAAGATATGAAGATGATGAGAATGAAAGTTAATAGAAGAAGAAAGGTAGAGAATGGAAAAGGCGGAGAGCAAAAACAAGAAAGGGGTAAGAGGAAGAAGAGAAATGACGAGATAGTAAGTAGGGCGGAGGAGGAGAAGATAAAAATTATTGTCGTCTTATGTTAGTTCCATACTTGTAATGTTCCGAAAACCATGTCTCAACAAAAATGGCGTTACTTTTTACTGTTTTGACCAAAAGTTCGTTGCCAGTGAATGTCTCAGAAATCCTTCAATGTTAAAATACAGCCGTGAATGTATAAGCAGCGTTGCATTGACAGAAGTCTCTTGATTTGTACGCCTTACCAGTTATTATTAGAGTGATGAAGGGATGCGATGGGCGGGACATATAACACGCACGAGGGAGAGGAAATTGCATAAGAATATCCGTCTAATGAGCTCAAGAGAAGAGAGCATTTGGGAGACCCACGTGCTGAGGGAGAGTGATGCACGTTTAAATTTACCTGTGAGCATGTGGACTAGATTAATCTGGCTCAGGATATGGTCCATTGGTCTTTTCTTGTGAACATGGTAACTGACCGTGCTCCCTAAGAGACGGGGTGTTATTTCACTGAATGTATATTTATTTCACGAAGATTCTGCTCCGTGGAATTAAATGTGGCAGGCTCCTATTTGCTGCAGGATGTACTGTTCACGGGTGAGAGACAAACCAAGCGTGTTACTGCTTCAGCTGCCATGTTCGGTGAAATATTGTGCCTCAGAATTCTTCTCTTGTCGCTACAAAAGGCCGGTAAAAGAGAGCATGTAGCACGAATGGGGAAGTGCATGTAGGATATATATGGGAAAGCCAGAAAGAAAGAGACCACTAGGAAGACGACATAGGTGTGTTAATAATATTAAAGTGGATCTTAGAGAGATAGGATATGGTGGTATGGATTGGGGTGATCTGTCTCAGGATAGGGACCAGTGTAGGGCTTTTGTGAATATGGTAATGAACCTTCGGGTTCCAAAAAATGTTGGGAAGTTCTTGAGTACCTGCAAAACTGGCGGCTTCTCAAGAAGGTCTCAGCCCCATGAAGTCGGTTAAAGGACTCCACGCTGGCTGACTGCTCACACAGTTCACACCCCTACGAGCCAGCAGGTGTGGGAAATAGATTATCATCATGTGTGCATGTTTGGAATCAGTTCCCATGTACAGAAAAACCTGGCGAGAACGCAACGTTATCGAGCAAGTTGCGTTAGGTGGTAATGTTTCTGACTTTTAGTCAGGAGGTTCGCAGTTCAAAATCCGACTGGGACATGGATTATCCTAATTGACGCTTTTCATTGTTTTCGTCAGTCCTTCCGGGAAAATGCTGGGAGAGTAATTTAAATTAGAGTTCTGTCTTCTTGAATATAACGCCATATAGTCCACTGAAAGTCGACGGACGTTTCGGAGGAAATTTCGCATCCGTCTTCAGATTGAAGAACCAATATAAAGGAGGCAGGAAATAAAAATTTCATTGCTGCTTCCTTGACGATAGTTTCTTGCTTGGAGTACTCTTCAACCAGAAGTGATATATTCCTCCGAAGCGTCCGTTGATTTTCAGCGGACTACACGACGATATGTCCCAGAAGATAGAACAGTTCATAACCACCGCTGTGAGAACCTCAGAATCCTACAACTTAAATTAGGTCATTACTGCTTCCTACCGCATCCTTTCTGATTAATTCTTCATTGTCATCCAATCATTCGAAATCACGGTGGAGTCTAAAGGCTCCTAGAGCCGCCAGACAGTAAAGATTTGTCGTGGGTCCCGCGGGGCTCGGAACCAAGAATCGCTGAGATGGCGAGGGCCAGCAGCAATTTGGCAGTCAGCCAGTCACTCGACATCATATAGTCGGAATTACTGATACAGTGACAGAAATGTGACATTAATTAAACAGGAATCCTTCTGTGTGTAGAATGTACAGTGATGTAATTTTTTTTTCAAATAAATAGAAAACTTAGCGTGGAAATGGCAAGAAATATAACATACTTATTCATATCCATGCAATTCTGTTTCATACTGATCTTCTGGAATTTATCTGAGAAGGAGCATTGCTGCCGCTAATAGAAATGTGTTACGCTGAAACGTCGACAAAACGTGTAAAGTACTCTACTCAAGCCGTGGAGGAAATAACGAGCCTGGAAAGGGGTTTACGCCATAGTGCAGTAGACGGAATTACCAACTACGTTCTCTTAAGTTTATTAAGCTTAGTCAAAGACAGAAGCGATGAAATTAAAATTACTAGAGTCCCCCGTATCGAATTTGAACAACATGAAAGGTCTTATGAAAACCAAACTTTACTATCAATCAAGAGAGCTGAAAATCAGTAACGCCCAAGAAGTTACAGTAACAGTCTTGCACATCGGATTTTAAGAAAATATTCAACGGTTTAGACGTTGTTGAAAGCTATCACTGTAACCGTAGAGGCCTTCAGGGATGTGAGACTTCAAGGCTCCCACATTTTCTAAACAATCGACTCCCAGATGGGCGGTGAGGTTGTCAGCCCCTCTTTACCCCCAGGAAGATTCCTGGTACTCATTTCTGTTAGACGCTGAGTCGACCCCAGGGCCATAGTGCGGCAGGAAGGATTAGGTAAATTGAAAGGGTCCAATAACATCGGGAATCGAACGCGCGACCTTACGGCCTGTGGCATAGTGCCTCAACCAACTACGCTACCGCGGTATTTGTCATCATATAATTAAACTTTTAATTTCATTTTATGATTATAAATTCTGTATAAAATATCTTCTTGAAATAGACTGGCCTGCTGCACTTAAACAATCCTTATTCGCCTTCATGTTCCTGTATTATACGCTATTCAGAGAATGCACATTGTGTGGATGAATGCACGCACGTACGTGTGTATATTTTTTCACGTTAAACTTTATTGCCTTTAGAATAAAAGCTGCTGTAAGCAATTATGTGTTTTTTAGCAACAGAAAAAAATAGAAATGAAAGCCGTAAGTTTCGTTGCGTGGCAGGGCTAACGCAATATTACAAAGCTGTTCACACTACGAAGCGCCAGAAGTGTAACTGCTTCTGTTCTGCTAAATATATTCACAGTTCAGGCATAGATCTTAATGGCGCGTACATATTTTGTGCTGCTTACAAATTTTCTTGAGATAAGTGTTTCTCACATTATGCAGTGTTACATTTGAGCTTTATATCTGTATAAAGCAGACTTTATGCAGTTTGGCTAGCGAAATAATTAACTGCGAATGAATGCAGGCCAGTACACCCACCGCTGTCCTGGGCAGACCAATAAAAACACGCAGCGCTCAGTGCTTCACCTGCCAGGCCGCTCTGACCAAGGGGCCTCAACAACCGGACCTGCAAAGGAATTCCCTTGGCCATGCTAGGCCTTCAGTTCACTGATTCGGGCCAAAATTAAAGCCAGTTGATACATTTTCGTGACCGCCTCTGTGGTCTAGTGGTCAGAGTTCCTGGCTACAGATCCAGAGGTCCGGGTTCCATTCCCGGCGCTACCAGATTTTCTGAGAAGTAGTGGGTCTGTGACGTGCTCCACTCAACTTCGTGAAGATAATTGAGGAGCCATATCAAGGAATTAGCGGCTCCAGTCCATAAAACTGAGATTAACGGCCATAGGGATTCGTTGCGCTGACCACGCGACACCCTCTGTCCGCTAAAGTTGGCACTAACTTCGCCGACAAGCGGCGGCCGCTCGGTCGGTATAGTTCACTTGCGTACTAAAACCACAGAGTATGTTTGTTTGTATACATTTTGGTACAGACCTCCAGTATCAGACTACACAGAAATCCGATAAGTAGGCTCAGAGATTAAACATGCTCGCAGAAGCACGACGTAGGAGACGGATATGCAGCCTAAACTTTCCCATTATGCGTTCACTGTATACACTTTTGTCAAAGAACTGAACAGCTTTTTTCGGTATTGTTGCGTATAGACACGTTGCTAAGCGGTGACTTTGTAAACAGCAGCCGTTGCTAGATAACACCGGCAACATACACGCACTCAACAACAGAACAACGGGGTTATACAACCCGTTTCTAGGCA